AGGTGGTGGGGGAGTTGGTGTGGGGAAACGCCAGAAGGTAAAGGGGGGTGGTGGGTGGGGGGGCAATGGGGGAGGTGGGGATTGTTTCAAGGGGGGGGTGGGTATTATATTTTTTTTTTTTGGGGGGAAAGAAGGAAAAAAGTTTTTTTTTATTTTTCAAAAGATAAAGAGTCGGGGAAAAAATTATGGGGGAGAAAAGGGGTTGGGATGAATATTTTTTTTGGGGGTTTTCGGGCGGAAGGGTAAAAATTGTGGGGGGGAGAAAGGAAGCTTAAAAGAAAAGGAGCCGGAAGGGGAGGGGGGAATTTCAAAACGGGGGAGAAGGGGGTGGTAGGGAAAATTCCTGGAAGAAGGCAGGGGGTATTTTTGGACGGAACCCCCTTCCCCTTTTTTTACCTTCCGGCGGCGGGACCCCCCCCCCCCCCCCTCCCGCCGGCGCCGCTCGATCTTTAGGAGCGCCAGCGGCGCGTCTCGGAGCTAAAGGAAAGGTCAGCCCTGCTGGAAGCCAGCGGAAGATCTGCTCAGGACGAGGCCGAGGCGGTGCGGGAGCAGCTGGCTAGGGCGATGGAGGACCTGGAGGCCGCAAAGGAGTCTAGCGGGGAACTCGAGGCACGTCTGGGCCCTCTCGAGAAGGAGTGTCAAGAAGCGCACACCGCGCAGGAGCGCCTGAGGTTAGTTGGACACTATGGTATCGGCTGCGTTTGTTTACGGCGGAGCCGAGGGGGTCTTCTGATTCTGGTCTTGTCTGCGAGAATACGGGCGCACGATCGAGCAAGCGCTTGCTGTTGGGTTGTATTTTCTTCGGTCTTGGCCTTGTTATTTCCGTCGTATCGTTTCGTGCAACGAGGTGGTACATACCCGCGTGTTGCAGAGTCAAAACGATACCAACGCTGGCTAACACGGTGAGGCCCCGAGACTGTGCAGACGGCTTCATGTTTCTCAAGAAGCTGGCCTTATTTTTTCGTTTGTGGCCCTACAGAAAGGAAGGTTGGAAACGAGAGAGCTCGAAATGCAAGTTTTTCGTACCCGCTCAACGTGGCGGTGTGTCGTGTCGTGCACGTACACACACTTCGGCATTCAAGAAATGAGTACCCCCCCCCCCCCCCCCCCCGAAAAAAGGGGGGGGGGGGGGGGCCCCTTTTTTTAAGGGGACCCAAAAAACAAAAACCCCCCTAACAAAAACTTTTTTTCCCCCTTAAAAACCTGGCCAACCCCCCAAAAATGCGGGGATAAAAGTGGGGGCCCCCCCAAAGAATTTTTTTCTTTTGGGAAAAGGGGAGAACAAAACATAAAGGAATTTTTGGCCCAACTTTCGCGGAAAAAGCTTCCCCGGGGGGGGAAGGGGGGGACAACCCCCGGGGGGGCGGGACACAAAAAACGGGAGTTTTGGGTAAAAACCCCCCCCGGGGGGAGGAAGAAATTTAGGGAATCCAAACCCCCCCCAAAATTTTTTGGGGGAAAAAAACCCCCCAGGGGAAAAAAAACCGTG